CCCCCCGTCACCTACAGACCCCTCCCCAACCCTTTCAGACCCCCACCATTGCCCTCCCCCCCCTCCAAGCACTGCTTGATGTCCCAGAATGCCCCAATGTCACAACAGTGTCATTGTCCCCTGGCTCTCCAATGCCCCCCCAGACCTCCTGTGTCCCCACATCCCCGCACTCCTCACCATCCCCCCATCCCTCTCAACATCTTCCTGTCCCCTCCCCACGTCCCCACGTCCCCCTTGGCCCACCTTTATTGTGTGCCTCGAGCTGGGACAGGGAGTTGACAGCCACCTTGCAGAGGGCACAGTAAAGCAGCCGCTTGGCCTTCGCCTTCTCCTCTTCCTCCTCCCCCTCCGTTGCACCCCCAGGTCCCCCCCGCGTCCCCCCCGGTGCCTCTGTGGTCACAGCTGGGGGATCAGGGGGGGAGGGGGGCCCAGGGGCACTGGGAGCTGCGGGCGTTGGGGGCTGCTCGCCTGCAGGCACACAGAGAGTGGATTGCCCCCCCCCCCCCCCCCCCCACAAACACACACCTCACCCTGGGGAGGACGGGGGTTGAACAGAAGGGACCCAAGCAGCCGAACATCACTCTGGGGTGACACGAGGACACCTGGGGCCACCTCGAGGTGCAGAGACCCACCTTTACGTTCAGGCGTCTCCCCCGTCGGGTTGGGGGTGGGCGCAGGGGGGTCCTGGTTGTCCCCTGTGTCCCCACCACGACGAGCACGGGCGGCCTCCAGCCCCTTCAGGCGCCTCGCGTGCCTGTTCCCCTGGTAGTGTGCTGCTGCCTGGCTCTGGGGACAAGGGGTCAGCGCTGCAGCCACCCCCCGGGGGGGGCACAGGGCGCCATCCCACACATCCCCAGCCTGGGGACGTGGGTCATTTTGGGGACACGGTGCCTAAGGAAGCCCCCACGCAGCCCAGGAGGTGTGGGACATCACGGTGACACCCGATGCTGGGCCCCCACCCCACGGACACCGCAACTTGGGGACATGGGATACCCCAGAGATGTCCGTGTTGGAGACACGGGATGCTCTTATGATATGGGACCCCCACCCTGGGGACACCCCAGGGACACGGAGCACCCCAAGGACCCCCACTTTGGGGACACCCTGGGGACACAGACATCCCATGCATGCGGGACTCAGCTGAGAAACACCCCCAGCTCTCAGCCACCGCGGCCCACAGTGGGGCAGGACCCCGGGTATGTGTGCATATGGGGGGGGGGGTCCCCAGGTTTTGGGGAAGGGTCTCACCTCGGAGTTGAAGCGGATCTGGCAGACGCTGCAGGCGATGACAGGACGCCGGGGTTTGGCCAGCGCCGCTCCCAGCACCGCTTTGGGCACCGGCTCCATCTGCAGCATGGGGCAGCGTGTTTGTATGGGGGGGGGGGGTCACATCCTGCACCCCAAAACCACTCTCGGGAATCTCTTACCCCCCCAAGACCACTCCTCCAACCCCTCCAAAGCATCCAACCCCTCCTTTGGGTGCTCTGGGAGGAGCTGGGGGCGCTGTGGGTTCAACCCAAACTGTGGGTCAGGCCAAGCTATGGGTCAACGCCATGCTGTGGATCAACTCAAGCTATGGGTCAGCCCACGCTGTGGGTCAGCCCCCCCCATCAGCCACCCCCGCCCCATTCCGTAGCTCCTCAGGAATCTCTCCCAACCCAAACCCCGGGGATGGGACCCCGCCTGTTGTTCAGCCACAGCCCGGGTTTCTGTGTCGCTGCTTTGGGACCAAGCCCCAAAAAATCGAGGTTGCGGAGCTCAGGGAAGCCGTCCCTGCCTCCGTCCCACAGCCAAGGCCCGCAGCGGGGCAGCTGGCCGGGATTGTCGCCAGGGCCGAGGCTCCCATGGGAATGAAGGCGCGTGGCCGCCGAGGGCCGGCAGGTCCGGAGGCACGGAGGCGGCACGGGTCGGGCACGGGGCCCGGGCAGAGGCCCAGCGGGGCCGCGGCCGCCCGACGCCGCGCTCGGAGCCGGGATTCCCCTTCCCCCCCACAACCTTCACCCGTTCGGGTTCTTCAATGAACGGTGGTTGTCGTGGGGGGGGGGCCGGGCGGCCCGGGGTGCGCAGGCCCCCCCCGGCCGTACCCCCATAAGGCTGAACGGCCCCCGCTCCGGGCCCACCGCGACCCCCCGGGCCCACCCGGTCCCTCCAGGCCCGTTCCCGTCGCCATGGCAACGCAACGGGGCCCTCCGCGTCCCCTCCCGGCCACCGTAGCGCCCCCCATTCCCTCCAGCCTGCCGCCACCCCCCCATGCCGCCACCCCCCCATGTCGGCTCACCCCCGGTAACGGCGGCAGAAGGCGGAGAGCG